CGGTACACATCGCAAATTTATTACATTTCCTTGAGGAAATAATGGAAGGAAAGTCAACTGTGTACTATTTTTGAAACATATAGGAGTATTTCACCTTTCTCACAGACATAACAAAAGATAATAATTTCTAAAACTATTTCCCGAAGACACGTGTACTCACACAACTCGGAACAAGATGAACGAAATAACTAAAGAACACCCAAATAACAGCCTTGAGCTTGCTTTGTGCTCATTGGCTAATATATGCCAGATGACATGTAGTGGAGCTCGATGACCATTGGAGAACGACGCTTCTGGATACGTATGCTCTCACTCACAAAGCAGAAATTCTCATCTGATTTGCAAGGTTTTGTTTTAGATATAATCTAGAGAAAATTCAATTGCTTTCAGACGTCCAAAATCACTCTTTTTTTGTTCATATAATGAAATATTAAGCCAAGTTCCATAAAAATCATGGGAAATTTTAAAAGTAAGAAAAAGTCAGGAGAAATATATTGTAAATCGGGTTGGTGGGAGAGTGGTTGAAAATCGGGAGTCTTCCACCTAAATCGGGAGAGTTGGCAACTCTGCACTGGGTTTAGAAATTTCTTTATCAAAAAGTATAAATATCAACAAACTTTGTTAAATGACTTTTGGAATCGTTGAAGAAAGCATAACTTGCTTTCTTTAAAAGTTTATGAATTTATATCCACCTACTAAAGCACCTGGTTGGTTTACAGTTGATGACGATGGCCTCATACATAATGCCTGCTTCCCTATGAAACTGTACACAATACATAAGATAACAGAAAATTATCTAGTGACAGTGGTCAGTTTTGCTCCTGTCTCAAAAGCTCCAACACGTAACTTAAAAAGACCACAGCAACCTCAAAAGTGAACAGTTATTAGTAAAAGGCAACTGTGTAATAATTTGATTTGTGTAGCATATCAATCATTTATTGATTAATATCTTTACTAGTTGCTATTAAATGTGATTTTTTATGATTAGTTTTAATTTTGATTTCAGTACAACTGATTCACGTTTCATAGTTAGTAATTAACTTTATATGCTTGTTTTATTGCTTTAATGTGTTTAAATATTACTAATTTGTTATCTGCAATATGTTGGAAATATTACATATTTAGTTCATGTGAACTCAAGAGTTCACAGGAGAGGAGTGCTGAAAATCAAGAAAGTAGATGGTGCTACTTTACAGTAAAATTAATGTAAACAAAAAAATTTTGGTTTATAGTACATTGGCAGGTAAATATTATGGAATGCAGTAATAAGAAAGCAGCCGTGTATTGGTTCATCACACAGTAAAACGTTTTTGAAGTTTGGTTCACCTTATATAGGACAAATGTAAATATGTTGTACATAAAGTGATACGTTAAAGATAAAACCAACTAGTGTGGTGTTTATTAGATGGGCTACCTCGTGGTGTTGTTTTCCTTATTTGAATAAATATTATAATAAAACTGCTATATTTATTACAAGAAATCAAAATTTGCAAGTCACCAAATAAAAAAATTCTAAAACCACTAAAATACTCAAAATCATCAAACCTAGCAACACATAACAGAATTCATACTTAAAAACTGAGAACATTTTTTTGATATGATAAAAAGGATGAATTAAAATGACAAATCAAATATTTGTCAAAAATATATGTTTAAAATACAGAAATACACCTTTATAAAAATCTGCAAAATTCACAAGGGGGGGGGGAACACGCATAATATTGTAAAAATACAAATTTTCATAAAATTAAGAAAAATTCACACAAGTTGGCAAAATGCATTTGGTATGAAATGAGAAACAAATCTGAAACATTTTAACAAGGAAATTAGACATTTCTATGCATAAGTAATTTTTTATAATTGTGCATACAATACAAATTAAATAACAGAAATCACATGAAACACACTTGTAATGTTCGTGAAGCACCTTTACTTACACTAGAAAACATCAGAGAATTGCACAAATTTGTCAGAATGCATGCTCTTGTTCACCTCATGCATACAGCAATATATTCTCACATAAAAACATTACAGAATTGCACAATTTGTTATTGCACATGCTGTTCTCCCCTTATACACAGTAATCTATTTCCTCTTATTAAAATGTCAGATAATTGCACAAATTTGGCATCATATACATATTTTGATCATTTATGGAAAACTTCATGAAATATGAATTTTTGCATTCTCTACTGTTGGACACGATACAATATTTCTTAAAAAAAGGCTACAATTCCTTTTCATCACTGGCAAACTCCACAGTCCCATTACAATTCTTTACACAGAAAAAAAAAAAAGTACTCCATGCAAAAACTAATACTAATCAGAAAAATGCCCATTGAATTTGAAGGTGGAAGTACACATGTAGTTTGGTGCACATTTTGGCAACATGATGGCTTGTCTATTTTGACAGCATAGTGCAGTGACTTGGGAATATTTCTGAAGATTATGTCAACAAACAGAAAGAACTTTTCCTTTTAAAAGTACTTTTTAATATATTGGTCATCATGGAACTCACCAGTGATTATTTCAGTAGTGCATGAGGATTAAAGATGACCAGCAAAGAAGAGAGATCTCTAAGCTATCGTTCAGTGCTGCCAGGTCACACTGTCTGCGTATTTCACTATATAAAGTGACCTTCTGCATATTGCTGCAATTTGGCCTGAAAATAGTATTTGAAAGAAACCTAATATTTGGTTATTGGAAAATCCATGATGTATTTTTTCCTATATTCTTCAAAAGTCCTTTACTTATAGAAAGAAAAATGATCAGTCAATAGTACATATCCTGTTTTGTTTGATAACATTTTGCTTTCAATGAGCTTTTTAATTCTTCATTCAAAAGAGAATGTAGATTTATCATTGAAAAGCTGAGCAAGGTGCTGATTTATGGCCTTATCTGAATTGAATATTATACCATGAAAGAAATTTTGAAGACAGCAAAAACAAATGTCTTCATTTAAACAAAAGTCTGAGGGCACAGAATCAGGTGAATATGATACACATGGCAACATTTTTCATCCAAATTCCAATAATTTTTATCAGTTATCACACTTATGCACGGTCTTGTTTTCAAGCTCCTGCCAATGAGCCAATAAAATCAGTTCAGATGTATGCTATCACCAACTAGACAATTTCAACAAATCCATCTTCCAGAAATTTCTAGAGCTCATTAATTGTACAAGAACTGTATTGCATCTTGATAACACAAGACTACACACAAGTTTGATTACCTGACAAAAATTGTTAGAGTTTGGATGAAAAGTGTTGCCATACATATCATACTCACCTGATCTTGTGCCCTTAGACTTGCTTCTCTCTCTTCAAAATTTCTTTCATGGCATAACATTCAATTCAGATGAGGATGTAAAGCACCTTGCTCAGTTTTTCGCTCATAAAGCTAGGTTCTTTTGTTGAATGAAGAATTATGAAGCTCATTAAAAGAAAGCAAAAAGTTATTGAACAAAACAGGTAATATATTACTGACTGATCACTGTTCTTTATATAAATAAATGGTCTTCAAAGAACATAGAAAAAAATGTATCAGAACTTTTTTTGACAACCAAATATATTCTCATTTGTGAAAGAATGTATGTAAAAATACTTATTAGATATAAAAGAGATTTTATGGAGATTATGCACTATGTTTTATGATGAATATCTAGATGTAACTGATAATGCACAAATAAGTAACTGTCGAGAATGCCAGAATTTAGGTTATGCGCATGGCCAGCAAGGTGACCTGTTCAACGCATACAGAAAAATTATTCCATTAATGCCACAGGCGCTGATGACTGCACATTAAAAAAAAAAGTTGAGCCTTGTTTAAAATATGCACCAAAATAATAAACTTCTAATTCTGTTTATATATCTTTGTAGAATAAGCCTGAAAACTAATAGTCATTTTTCAACAAATTTATATAAAATTCTATGGCAATCAATGGGTTAAAATTTTTTTTGTTTAATACAGCATCTTCTAATGAATTCTGCAGAATAAAAATAACTCATAATGAGGTAAATAGCACACTATAAAAAATGAAGCAATTTCATTCTGACATAGCACCCTTTACATATCTTTGCTCAGCTCATCTAAATGTCATACCAATTACAAAATTAAAATTTTTAATCCATAAACTGTCATCTAACTGAACTTTAATAAAATGTCTTAAATTCTCAAGATTTTGCAGAAAATTACAACTCATAAGACTGGTTATTAATTAATTCTCCTTTACAAGCAAAACATGTTCTGGTCTTTAAGAAAATTCTCCATTTGAAATACACCAGTTTAAAAAATATCAGATTTAGATTTAAAAAGTAATTTAATTTAAAATTAAATTTAAAAATGTTAATGCTGGAAAATTCTAAAGAGCTAGCCAGCTATTATTCCCATTTATAGTTTTCCGATATTCTATATTTTGCTACAAGGCTTTATAAAATTAAACTTATTAAATTTAAATTATTTTAAAATTAGTTAAATAAAACAACTTACTATATCTTGTTAGCACCAAGCATTCTTTAAATCCTTTATTTTCATATTCTGATACACAATTTATGCAAAAGACCAAATGTGTTTAAGAATGTAACTTCTCACTGAGAAACTAACAATTAAAAAATATGAAAAACTGAAAAATGCATAGCATTTATTTTTAATTTTATAAGAGCATTTTTTTTTTTTTTTTTTTTTTTTTTTTTTTTTTAAATTTTACACCCAAATGAGTAAACTGGATTACTTGCTTGTAATAAAGCACACTTAAGGCTATTTGCCTATGGATAGAGATGAATTTATGGAAGGTTTTCTAAAAAAACAAAAATTTTTTTTTCATATATTTATTGTACATGTGAAAAAAACAATAAAAACACTATGCAAACAGCTTGTTCAACTAGCAAGAACCTGGGGTTAGTTTGCCTTTAAAATTTTAAACAAATTAATCTACAGAGAAAAACTTATCATGCAAGAGATAATTAGCAACTTTATTTAATTTAGAAGGAAAAAATTATTACTTTTTTGTTTGTTTTGTCTCATCAGAAGAAGCTAATGATTGTCCTATTTTCTTTACAGGAGCTTCCTGTTAACATAAGAAATATAAAATTTTGACGATGATTAAGAAATAATATTTACATAATATTTTAGAAAAAAAATTACTCATATATATACAAGATTCTGTTTAAAAGCATTTGCAATTTACAGCAGCATGAAACTGAATAAAAATAAAAAGAAATGGACTTTTAAATTTATTTATTAAAGGTTAATTTACATACCATTTATAAGCACACAGCTAGAAAATAATGCTTTTTTCTGGGATTAAATTAAATAGCTATTAAACACATTTAAAGATTTGCCAAGGAAAAGTGTGCAGTAATGAATAAATGAATGAACAAGAAAGATGCAAGCTTAACAATGAAAGTAATTATAAATTGTAAATTTTCTAATGATAAGTTTGCTCACTTATACAAGCTTTATAACTTTTTTTTAATATTTATTTTAATTTTAAATAGTTTTTTTATCCATTAAATATCAGATTTATTAATTAAATGTCAAAAACAAAAATGCAGCATGGCTGTTTTATACAGACTAAATATATTCAATGAAAAACTGGCGAGGAGGAGTAAAAAAACACAACTATCGGAAAATAATAAAATTCGGAATCATGCCGGAAAAAAATTTAATGCAACTGTCTAATTCTCATTTGTAAGTTCCTGTTTCAAAATATAATCCTGAAATGTATTATTTGCATACCAAATACGTAATTTAAAAAAAAAAAAAATATTTTGGTCAGCATTTTGTTTTCTGTGAATTCATTTTCAAGTTTACAAAAAAAGAATTCACAATATATGCACATATTATCAGTTACTTTCATTACCTATTATGAGATAATTTTGATACAACAAAACAAAATCACTTGTACAAAGAATTTTACACAATTAATACAGATCTACTCTTAATGCACTTTAATTTAAAATTTATTTTATCAAATTTGTCATTAAATTGTGCTAAAAGAATTTAATTAAACAAATAATAAAAAGAGTGTTTAAAAAAGAACAGAATTGCTTGGAAGGCATAACTACAATTTCTTTAATCTTAAGAAGTTTGAATGACTTCAAATTATTAATTACTTTATTATTACTTATCTATTATTTATATCCTGAGAATAAACTTTTTTTTCAGAATGATTACAAATTTTGAAACATTATATTAGTACATACAAAGTAAAGTTAGAAAGGGGAAAGGGATCTAAGAATAAAATGAAGATTATAATGCAATATCTGATTCTGACATTTCAAGCATTTTCTATGAAACTTTCGATGCTACTTGCAATTCATTTAAACATTTGTTTATAGCTACAGTGCATAGTGGCAGCAGAATGTTCTGCTTAAAAAACTGGACAAAAACTCATAGCAATCCACTAATTACAGATGTCATCAGTTTTCTTCTCATGTTTGCAAATTTTGGTTTTCGGTTTGCAAGTTTACAAGCTTCTGATTATCCATACCTCTGCTAAAAAGAAGGGAAAAAAAGTATTTATGAAGCAAAAGAGTTGTATGGCAACCCAGGTATGTACACAGCACATGTCTGTTAAAGTACACATGGATTTGCACTTTTAAATTAAACTGTCATTTTTCTGATTAGTGTTTCCTTTCATATTGTGTATATTTGTTTTTCCTGCAACATGCAATATGAAAAATTATGAGCAAAGTATTAAAATGAGACTCAGAAATCGGTTTAAAGATAGCTGTATTGCGTTTACGACAGCTGTTCACTTTATTTGGTGCACTATGTCAAAGTTGTATGTGGCATAAAGTTTGGGAAATTCCGTTTTTTTTTTTTTTTTTTTTTTTTTTTTTTTTTTTTAATAGCAAAAACAGTTGCTGAGTACATGAGGTTAATAAAAGCCCAAGAGAATTATGCAAGGATTACTCACAAAGGAAAATATTTCATTACCGATGTTTCTTGCTTTATCAATTTTATTGATTGATAGCTCTTTTATGAAATTCTTGATCCTCTATTTGGAAATGGTTCTACGTTTGCACATTAGTTAGATGAAAAATTAGTTGCCAATCTTGCGACTGCTTTCCAAAGTCAACAATGAATTCGTAAGATTTAGTTGAGGATGCAGATAATCAAAAAGTACTGAGTTTTCAATATCTAAACATTTCCTCATTATTTGAATAACAAATGTTTAACTCTGATAAAAGCCATTTCAGTGTTTAGAAAGTTATTAGCAGAGGAAAAAGTAGGGGAGCTTCTGGAAAGCTGAGGAGGCTTTTAACAAAACATGGCTAAACATTTCTTGATCTGCAAAATGCTTATGATAAGGTTTAATACAGAGGGCTGATATATTAGCTTATCCTGATGAGATTTTTTATCTCTTAATACTTCTGGATGACTTGTGAAATCCGGGATAAGTTTAGCAGCTTTCAGTTTTCATTATATTATTAATAAATATTCATAAACTAAAAGGTAAATGAAATGTAGGCTTAGCCACACTTAAACAACTCTTAAATTGTTGATAATTCAACAACTATAACATGCATGTTAACTAAAGTCGTAAAAACCTTAACTGGAAGATAAGAACAACATAATTCAACCACTTTTAAAGCAAAAAATGCACAATTTGCAAACATATAAGAATAAAGAAACTGAGCTCACTGAGCGGAGTAATAGAGTGGATATATATACATATATTTATGTACTTTTGGTGCGGCTGATTGCAACCAAAAACGGAGGTGCACATCTACATGTTATAGCAGTACCACATACAAAATTTCAACATTCTGAAGCTTTTCGTTTTTCAGTTACGTGAGATGCATACATACATACAGATGCCATGAAAAAAAATCTCTTCGGAATCCATTTTATATTGGTTTTATAAGTTGTTTGAGGAAAAGGAGTCCTTTATTCTGTCCTTATGTGTCGATGTCACATAAAAACATCGTTAAATTGCATTTGGTAAAGGTCAAAATGGATATTTTCATTGAAATATGGTATCCGGAATTTTTCGTGATTACAATACTTCCTTTACTTCATACAAGAAAGTAAAAAGGCTAAATATTTTTCGTGATTACAATACTTTTTTTATTTCATAAAAGGCTAAACTTAACTGAAATTAAATGGAAGGCATTTTTTTTTTTTTTTTTTTTTTTTAAATCTTCCGGCCCTACTGAATAAATTTCAGTTTTCTTGGTGAAAACGTCTGCACGTAAATGTGAGCAAATAAGAATCAAAATGCTGTCAACCAGTATCCCGATGGCATTTATTACACCATTTAGCACTATCCACAGCTGCTCTAATGTTTGTGCAAGACATTCACTTTCAGGGTCCACAAATTTGTAGTCGTAGTTGACAGTAAAATGTTCAAAGCCGGCATCTCTCAGTTCATCTGACTTATATGATTTCCCCAGGCAGTCAGTATAAATAATACTTCCTTCTGTGTTATTTTCCTTTATGACATTCAATAAGTTTTTCGCTGATCGATCTGGAACTGCGACTAAGAAACATTCATTTGATTCTCTGCACTATCCGCCAAAAACTTATAGTGCAAGATACTCCAAAGTTATTCTTTCTTCTACTGAAACAGCTTTCGTCTACTTCAATAATTTCGCTACATCCACCAATTTTCAACTTAGACTGAGCAATTAAATCTGTGGCACACGCCTCATGCATGTAACTGTTCCCAGTCTACAATCGTATTGTTTTTATCTTCAGCTGGAGTTCACAAAATTCAATAGATGTCATGTCTTGACACCAAAAATAGGTGAACCTAATGGCTGTAAGGAAGGGGATTTTCGATTCTTTAAGCCAATATTGACTTCTTTCTTCTCCTTACACATTTCTTTCCTGCACCACCATTTCATTACTGAGTTAGAGCTAAATCATAATTTCATCTTGTGGTTGTTTCAATATATTTTTCTATCATGAACGATGCCTTTTCTTTGAAAAAATTCTATCACAGCCTTTTCATCATTCGGCAAGTCTAAAACTCTTAGATCCATAGCATTATCATTGAAATCAGCATATTCCCTAGATATGGCGCACAGTTACATAGCGTATTTGCTATGATTTGACGCTTTTACATATATATTTTCGCAGCAATTTCATATGGTCCCTAAAATGGAATTGTACCTAATTATGCTTTAAGGAGTTCAAAATCGTGTTAAATAATAAAAAAGATTACAATCCCTATTTAAAAAAAAGAAAAAGGAAAAAAAAAAAAAATATTCTTATGTTACTTTTATGCAAATATGCAGAATTTATAAACTTTGAGAATATAAACAAATCTCGTGAATGCAACTAGATGCCCCAACAGCAAAATAACTGTTAGGCTGCACAGATCTATCTTTCAATTTCACATAACCTAAAAAATAGGGAGAAGGCAATATTCTCGGCAGTTTTTTGTAAGAAGCATGTAAATCAAAGCCACTTTGGTTAACAGTTTTTAATTAAAAAAAGCCCACTGTTTGCATTCTAAAAACAACTTTAATTAATTTAATTACTATACAGATGTGATATTTTTAGAAAATTTTACTTTAAGGTCTTAAAAAGAAATATCTAAACACATACAATTTGTGGTATTATATTTGCAGTAAATTTCCCAGTATTTTAACACTTAATGTAAATTATTTTAATTTAACTAAAGAAAATGTAAAAATATCTACTGCAAAGTTGAAAACCCTATTTAACCCCTTCCTTCTCGCTCCCGTCAAAACGACGGGGTGAGGTTTCACCCTCTATTTCTCATACCCGTGATTTTTTCGGGCTGGAGAGTTCAAAAGCAACATGCTAAAAGGATTAAAACCTATTCATTTCTTTTGCCCGGAAAAAGTTTTATTTCTCATTTTACACACCAGATGGCAGTACCAGAATGATTTTTTATGCAATTAAAGATAGTTTATTTTAAGCTATGTCAGCACTAATCAAACGTGTATTTATACTATGTGTTTTGTAATTTTATCATTAGCTCAGTCACTTAGTTAGTCTCATTGTGAATGCACGTGGTTTCTGTTCTGTGATAAAATATACTTAAATTTTTATTCTGTACATTATGAAGTCAGAGTCAGATAGTGAATTGGATACTGATTTTAGTATAAATGGACCTGAAAGTGATTCTGAAGTAACTGATTTTTATGAAAGTTCGGTTAGTAAATCTGAGAACAGTGATGATGGATCTGTACTGTTGCCTGGATGAGCATGGGCTAAAATTGTATCTACTTCAGCAGATCATGCACCCCCACGTTTTAAATTTTGGAGAACACCAAAGGTAAGTATAATTTTTGATCCAAGTTCTGGTGTCTTACTATATTGTAAGTATTTTGTGAATGACAATTTAGTGGATCTCATCGTTTCAGAAACAAATAGATATGCCAAACAATGGCAAAATTCTAAAGGATTCCACCTATCCAAAAATAGAAAACCTTAGATACCTGTCACAAAGGAAGAAATTCTTAAATTTCTCAGTATAGTTTTTACGAGGTATTGTAAAAAAACCAGATACGAAAATGTATTGGAGCAAAATACATTCAATTTCAACACCTTTTATCAGAAGCATAATACCTTGTAATAGATTTTACAAAATACACAAGTTTCTGCATTTTGTAGATAATGAAGCTTTTGATTGTAACATGCACTCAAATCCCAAGCTGCATAAAATCTGGCCAGTGTTACAACACCTGAATGAATTGCTTCAAAGAGCCATAACTCCTGGACATGATATTGTAATTGATAAAACCCTCATGCTTTTCAAAGGTCGTTTAGGATGGCGACAATATATGCTGAAAAAGAGATCCCGGTTTGGAGTAAAATCGTATTTGTTAAGTGAATCAAGATCAGGGTATATATGTTCAAAAATTATATATACTCAAAAAGACATGGTTTTTGATGCAAAATATACAGATCTGCCCCAATCAATTCAAGATGTGATGTCACTTAATTAAGCCTCTACTAAAACAAGGATATTGTCTGATAACAGACAATTTTTATACCTCACCAGAATTGGCAGACATGCTTTTAAAATTTCAAACAGACACTTATGAAACTGTAAAACTAAACCAAAAAGAAATGCCTCAAGAATTAGTAAAAATGAGAATCGCAAAAGGTGAAAATGTTGCTTTTCATTGAGGTAAAGTTCTTGCCATGAAGTGAAAAGATAAGAAAGATGTTACCATGCTATCTATAGTTCATACAAATGACATGGTAGATGTACAGTGTCATAACAAAGTTGTCAAAAAACCTATAATTGTCACAGATTACAATAAAAATACAGGAGCGGTAGATATTCTAGACCAGTATCTTGGAGATTACTCTATTGCTCGAAAAAGAGGAAACAAATATTATAAGAAAATACTTTTTATTTGTTAGACCAAATTATTTTGAACTCTTATCTATTTACAAAAAACAGGGCGGAAAAAATCCCATTTGATGTTTCATTTAGCTTTAGTAGATGAATTTACTGAAATGTTCCAGTCATCAGACATCATCACAAAAAGAGGCCGGCCAAGCTTGGAGGATAATCCAAACCGTTTGTTTCAAAGACATTTTATCAGACAGATACCCCAACTGATAAGAAATGGAAACTATCAAGAGAATGTAAAGTTTGCTGTTCCAGAAGAGATGAAAACAATAACAGATATAGGAAGGAAACTCGGTACTACTGTCCAGATTTAAAAATTTCGAGCTAAAAAAAAATCCAGAAATTGAAAAATGAATGCATATATTGTATATACATTTATTTCTATGCAATTTTCTTCAATAAAAAGTACAGGCACTTTTATGACGGTTTTCTTGAAAATTATCTAATCATTAAGGGGTTAAACAAAGAGTAACAGGTCATATAATTTCATTAAATCCCTTGAATCATACATAAAAGGAAACAGTCATCTTGTCTATGATGCAAGGAATTTAATTGTCCCTTTTACACATATATATATATATATTTTTTTTTGTCACACTCCTTTAATAATAAGAAAATAATGCAAATTTCCTATTAACCAAAGCAGCACAACTGTAAAAAATCTTTACAATTCTGATTATATACATAGGTTTTTTAACACCATTTTCTAAAATTATCTAATAAATTAAGTAAAAATGACGAAAACAAATGTTTACTTCAGGAATAAGAGGAACAAACTATGACATATCTTTTAGGAAAGCTATGCATAACCAGAATATTCAAAGCTTATCAAAAGAAATACACCAAGCAGTTTCAGAAATTTTCTATGTTCAAAATAAACAAATGAGATAAATCACAGTTAGACTGAACATGAAAAAATTAAATCATCTTAAGTGAATTTTTGCTTACTGAAGGGACAGTATGAGCCCATTTGACCACTAAATTTTTATCAAGAGCCCGCTTTCCATTCAATGATACTAATGCTTTTTCTGCCTGTTCCCTAGTTTCATATGTCACGAAACTATAACCTCTAGGTTGTCCTTTCAGAACTCCAGATTTATGAAAGAGAAAGTCAAATTTCTTTATTTGGCCAAACTGCTGCACAATTTTCAACAGACTGTATCTAAAAAAGAAAATTAACATGTTTATTAGTCAAGTGACGTTAATGATGAAACTGAAAATATTACTTAGAGTAACAAAACCACTATGTGAGGTAAAAGCACAAGCAAACTAAAACAATAAAAAAAAAAAAAAAAAAAAAAAAAAAAAACATGAAAATAACCTGATTTACTACAAAACCAACATAAACTGCACTGATTCTAAAATATTTTGGTTGTAAGTCTCCATAAAAAATCCATGTATGTCTTTCATATGATTTTCCTGTTTTATTTATCTATCATTTTTCTCATGAAAAAAAATGTAAACACAAAATTTATACTTGCAAATATTATCTGACCATGAGTAAAAATATTTATGCACCATTCTGAGCAACTCATTTATGAACTCGGTTGGACAAACCTATGAATGTAATGACATTAAGCTCTATATTATCCTTAAATAGGCAGATTTTCCAGCCAATCTTGCTGGAAAATCAGTTACATTTAGCAAAATACCAGACAAGGTTTGGTTGAACTTTAGCTACCCATATTTAATTCTAGATCAGAGGGTTAGAAGCATTAAGTAGCAACATTCTTTCTCTGGCTTATCTACAAATAAGAAGCGCCTTGTTGCACTATTAATTTAATAATTCAAAGTTTTAGTTGATAGAAAAAAAAATCATTGCTTATTTGATCCTAAAAACGAAAAGATTGTCAAAATAGAGAATATAAAAAATTTAAATGAAAAATAATAAAATACTAAACTATACACAGTACAATTAAATGCATCTGCCATGAATTTTAAACATTACGAATAGTGTTTTTTTTTTTTTTTTTAACTTCTCTGAAACTAAAAGGAATTCTCATGGTATATTTATTATTATTCTTGGTACTTTTCCATCTCGCCAGGCAGACTTCATTGGCAAAAACACACAGTATACTCATAAAAAATTTTAACAAATATTAGTTCTAAGAAATTTTTAATTTGAAGGCATAAACATTTTAATATCGTTTAAAATTTTGTAAAAAGACAATAAATAAAGACAATTTGCAAGAAGACATTAAGAATCTACTATGCTTTTTATGGTACAACATCCTGATTCGCCATTTCAGATCACGTGACCCCAAGTGGTCTCATCTCACATAAACTATGCAACAAAAATCTAATTCTCTCACTAATTATCAACTACAGATATTATCTACATTAATTTCAAGTTAAATCTATCTTAATTTCAAATACAAGTTTAAATGCACGAATTATTTCAATTTGTATGAATAGCTTACTTTGAAATTATGTAAAACCATAGTGCTTTACTTTGCTAGTGTTTTCTCGTTAGAATTTATGAATTTAACCCTTGACTTTGCCTTTTCTATATTTTCGCCTTTGGGTGAGCAATGTGATTGCATCCTAATTGACTTAATTATTGCAAATGAACTTACGATATAAAATTGAACTATCTGGTAAAAAATTCTATGTAATTGTATGCCAGTATTAACAGAAACAATCAATCTGATAAGAAATGGCTGCGACTTGTTTTGAAAATGAGACGCAAAAGGTTACCAGTGAGGATAATCAGTTTGGCATCGGTTGTACTATTTTTGGCGACTTTATCGCTTGCACCGGCAAAATGGAAAAGTACCTTATTCTTTAAGGAAAATCCTCCCCCCCTTTTTTTTAAATTGCAATAGCTAAAGTTTAATATTTTTACATGATTTAACATATAATCACCTGCATGTGGCATTTATATTGGAGCGAAATAAATAAAAAAACACTTTAAAGTTTGTATTTAAAACCGCTCTATATTATTTTAATATATTTCAGTATTTCTTAGCAGTTTTATTTAGTAATTATCAGATACAAAGAAAATTACAACTTTTCTTTTAGAAGGAAATAAGGAAGTATAGTTTTATGTATTTGAAATATTATATCTCTTATGTCAAGTAAGGGAAATATTTTTTAATTTTAGAATTTATTAATTTATTTTTGTGAGAAATTAAGCAACGGAAAGATTAGTAAAGCCATCGTAAAACATATACAGGATTACCAGTCACAACAATAAAAACCTGTCACCACACACTATGATTTAGTGCAATAATGAATATGCATGATGTCACAATACAGTCATAACATCTTCACCTTAGTTTTAATATAAACCTGATTAATTCCTGGATAAGTTCGTTTAGTTTCGGTAAACAAGGCTAGCAACTGATGTGGAACGTGGAAAGACACCTTGGTACCTGGGTCCATTGCCCTACCCCGAATTGTACGATTAAAAATTTCAAAATAATATACAGTCAAAAGTCTTTAATCCAGACTCATCGGGACTTCAATGATTCTGGATTATCGTTTTTCCGGATTATAGATCATCAGTTTAAATCTGGTAAGATGGCATGCAGAAATTATAAAATTAAAAATATGAAACCGTAATTTATGAAATAAAGAGCAATTATGATCTAAAGGGCATGAAAATTTACAAAAAAAAAAAAGCTTAATATTTATTTGTTTACTTAATTAAACATTTCCTTCAACTCGCGCATGCGTAAAGCATACATTATGCATAGTCAAAATTAGAAAATTGCAACCAGAAAACTATTTGATGTGTATTCGTGATATTGATAATGACGAGGAATTTGATTTAAATCATATCAAAGACGGAGTACATCGAAATGAAATGCTACATTTAGTAAGGAATTATAAGCCGAATAAAATAAAAACATCTGCCCTGAAGATAAGGATAGTGCTGACAGATCAACTTCCAGTTCATGTGCACCGCGACTTCCTCCCCCCCTCCCGCGCAGAGCAGTGTGAAATTGATAAGCAGATTTCGGAATGGTTAGAGAAACAAAGGATATGCCTTTATCTATTTTTTGCAGCAATTCCACTTTTTGTTTGATGGACATCGAAACATGCTTCCGCTTTGTAGATCCTTTGGCAGCTCGGAAATTCTTTTTGACATAATCGAAAGTTCAAGCTTACTTTTATAAATTGCTCTAACAGTCTGCAAAAATTAATAAGCCGGATCCAAATCGAAGATTAAGGAACAACGCAATCTGCAACATTAACTGAAATAGATAATTAGATAATTTTAGCTTAGCTTATACCATCCGTTATAGATGAAATGCGCATGCGTAGATGCTTATGTGCATGCGTAAAGGTATTATGCGCATGCGCAGAAAGTTTTTAGCTTTGAGGTCCAGATTATAGATCATTCCGGATTATGGACGTTCGGATTAAAGACTTTTGACTGTACTTTATAATACATTAAGAGAAAAGGTAATAAATTTGCATTACAAAAATTTTTAAGTACATTATAAATGTTAATTAATTAGTTAGAGGAGATTGTTCAGAAAGTTGACTGAGTTGGGAATAAAAAATACTAAGTGCACAGTTACGTGTGTGTGTGTGATTATGGCAAAGCCTCGAGGGCCATCTGTCTAAAGGGAGGGATGCCTTTCGTGGAGGACTTTCTAAGGGAAACTGACTCGTATACACATTACACATGGGGAAAACCATGAAAACGCCCATGCAGACAGCCCATTCGCGGGATTCGAACCTCGGACCGAACTACCAGTGTTCAGCGACTTTACCGCTCGGCCGCTGGTGGGCTACTAAGTGCACAATGTAAGCGGTTGTAAGTGAAGTTTACATGATTTAAGAATACATACAATAATAATAAAATACAAATCAAGTAAGAAGAATTATAAATAAAATGACGTTAAATACAAATTACCACATTATCACCCTGGGTTTAAGTATGGCCATGAGCCGTTTTTTTATGGTGCTCAATTATAGATTCGGAGATAGTGTTCTCATTTTTGCATGAAATTTTCATGAAAGATGGCAATAAAATTATCTTATTTGGACAACGCCACATTTTTCATGAATGATATTATTATAAATGTACCAGAATGCTTTGGAGCTCTGTCTGAGAACACAGTTCTGTGCAGTTTGAAGTTTTTCCTGTCAGATTTACAATAATACGCTGATTCTGGACAGGCATAACATAACATGGGCCGTAATATGGACTTATAAATGAGTAACTTGTTGTCAATAGATAGAACGCTGTTTCGAGCAATTAAGAGGTATAGTTTAGCTTTATGAGCTCAAAACTTCTGGAAAATGCAGTGCATGTATGGGGTCTAAGTGAGAGACAGAGGATTATCCGAGATAAGGGACTTGCTTAACTAAGGGCAGAGTTGATGTGGCAGATAAGGTACTTGCTTAGCTCAGTGCAGAGTTGGTGGCCAGAATATGTGTGGGGTTCAAGGTAACAGAATTAGTAGGGATCGCTGTAAACAAGGCTATAAGTTAACTGTCATTTATATATATACTATTACAAATTTTGTACGTAAATAGATGATTTTAGTGCAATTATATGTGTATTTTTCTGTATAATGTAACACGAAAATCTAGAGACGATGCTATGTCACAAAAATAAGGATACAGGGGGAAGTCTATTAAACATTCAATAAATAGCTGTCACACTAATTTGGTTACATATCGCCCAGCTGGCAACAGTTTTGACGGCTAACTCTTGTCGCCACTGCCAAAAGTCGGATTTTGGTCTGGCCCCTGTATCATCATAACAGGTATTGTAATTGAATAAATGGAATTGATGACTATATGTAACCATATTTATCCTTATTCAGGGTTCGTACACATTTACTTACATGAAAATTAAGGACTTTTAAGGACCATCAAAGAAAAAGGACCTATCAGCACAAAAAAATGAATAGAATAAAGCAATTATCCATACAACCGACTTCATGCTTGTAATTTCACTTTAAGAAACTAACAGAAGTGTGTATTATGCACTATTATTAAATTCAATTTAATACTTACCATAAAACAATTTTGAAAATTAAACTAACTCCCTACAAATTATGAAGTAGATAACATTAAATTAGGAACATAATTTCTTGAAAAACATGTATAAGTGTATTTTACACTAATAACAGTCACTATTTTAGAGATTTACATGATTATTATTTAACTTATTTGATATTTATTTAAACACAGTCAACT